CTGCCGTGGGTGCCCCCAGCTGCCGTGGGTGCCCCCTTCCACTCCCCCGAACCCCGGCCTGGGTGAGCTTGGGGCCACGCAGCCCCCCCGGCTTGTGCAACTGCAGCCTCCCGGGCTGCAAACATAGCGGCACTGCAGGGAATACAGCCCTTCCTGGCAAGAAAAAGAGGGATATGAAAACAGAAAGGGAAAACAAGCCCGCTCACAGCTCTGTCTGTGGGCAAACAGTCTGCTCCGGGGAGCCAAATCGCTCCTCAAGCGGGGTAACGGAACCTGGTGCGTGTGCTGTCCCTGTTGCGCTCCATAGGGGGATGCCGGGGACAGGCACTGCTTTGGGTTTAGGGTGCTCGTTTTTGTGGGAAGAAAAAAAAAAAAATTGAAAGGAAATACAGCTTGTTTTCTAAGTTGACAGCTCTCTCGGGGAAAAACAGTTGCTGCCAATGAGTGAATATGGGGAACTTGCAGTGCAGCGAGAGGCCAGGCATCCAAAGGTTTACAAACGCTTGAAATTCCTATGAGGAAGTGTTATTAGTTAAGTATTTAGGGAAAATGAGGCTAAGAAAAATTGCTTTGTCAACTAGGCATCACCATCCAGCTTCTACAAGACATGTAAGAATTAAAATATCCCAGTTAGATACCACAAGAACTTAAATATAACCAGAAATTACCTAGAATGAGGAAAGTTACCTGTTGCTAGAGCGTGTCATCGCGGTCTGACGGGGGTCACAAAGCCCTTACTTTCAGAATTCCGTATTTCTTTCAAGAGCCTGTAGTGATAGGACAAGGGGTAATGGGTATAAATTGAAAACAGGGAGGTTTAGGTTAGATATCAGGAAGAAATTCTTCACAGAGAGGGTGGGGAGGCACTGGACCAGGTGGGCCAAAGAAGCTGTGGATGCCCCATCCCTGGATGTCTTCAAGGCCAGGCTGGAGGAGGCTTTGAGCAACCTGGGCTATGGAAGGGGTCCCTGCCCATGGCAGGGGGGTTGGAACTAGATGATCTTTAAGGTCCCTTCCAACCCAAACCATTCTATGATTCTATGATTCTTTTCCAAATCAAGCGTGTTCAGCTTGGGAAAGCCACGTTCTCCACGCGCGAGAGAACAGACATGGCATTGCAAAGGTCCACTACCTAAACACCTTCTGACCAGCAATCCGTTACCTGTGCACAAGGGCTTCGCCTGTGCTTCGCTCTCTTCCCGTACCTTGTCCACGGACCAACAGCCTTCTACAAGAGAGCAAGTAGATGCCCTGGGCCGAGGTGACGACGTGAGCTAAAACCAAAGAAAGGGAAAGCACACCGTCACTGAAAACACTGTCAGGTTACAGCTGTCAATCCCCTGTTGAAGTTGCAAGGGAAAACACCAGCACGCCTCTCGAAAGCTGTTGTGAGCGTATTGCGTGGTTCTGCCTGCTGCCTAGCAGCTCGTTTGGGGGGCAGAGGGTTAATTTGAGTCACCAAGGTGATTATCTAGCTGTAGGAACTGGCTTAGAAGATGCGTCTCAAACCTCAACAGCCTGGCAGATTACAGAGAGAGAAAAATAGGCATTTCCAGAGATGGAGAAGAATGGAAAGAAATTGCTTACAGGAGTACAAAGGCATCTCATTAGAATGAAACAAAAGACAGTAAGATAGGGAGGGATTTTGGCAGAGTATACCAGGGAATCATTCCTGACAGTGAATCGATTAAGCAGAGGTAGAGCTTCTCAAGGAAGGGGGGTATAGCAGGAGACCAGTTGGTTGGAATATGTAAAAGCAGACTATGCTAAAGAGTAGGAACCACATAACTGTGAAGGAAGGTTCCTCAGGAACTACACCTAGTCTAACACTTGTTCCCATCTATATATTTATATACTAATCTTTAATTGAGAGAGGCGAGTCACAGCCATGATTATACTCACTGCTGCTTTTTCTCTGGTTCTGAATGTCAGCATTGTTGCTTTCCTACCCAGCAGCCGAGCTTCGGAGTCATGGCTGCGACGGTGAACGAATCTGAAACCCTTTCGGAGGGAACCGCGCACAGCGCAGAGCAAGACAGTGCCACCTGGAAGACGTATGTGGAAAGGAAAAGGATTGTTATGCAGTTCCTGCGCTACCACCTGAGCCTCCAGAACCTCCAGCACCACTGGAACAAAGTTGAGCTTCTGAAGAAGTGCTGCTTTTACTTGAAGGTTGAGCCCAAACACGTGAACGTGAGAGACCAGAACCATGTGATGCATCGCACTGACATCTTCCAACTAATAGACTCCTGGAAATTCCTGAAGCTGAAGAGGTTGGGGAAAAACCAGACTGAAATCCATCTGACACTTTCAACGGAGCTGTTAGAACAGCTGGAACAGGGTCGGGAGGAGCTGAGCTTTTATGTAAAGAACTGTGACATGATAACTTTCCTCTCCCACTGGGACGTGATTATACAGAGACTTTCCATGCTCTCCGAGTACATGGAAACTCTCCTTTCCTTGGAAGTGCCAGGAAAGCTCTTTGTCAAGCACGATTTGGTGTCACACACAGACCTAAGAGGTGCTAGACTCCCCAACATTAAGCTTTCTCTCTATACAAAGATGCCACTGATTTTCGATCGAAAAGAATCGTTTGCCCACAAGTACTGGGCCAACCTCAAGTGGTTTAGCAAAAGCCAAGAGTCACACCTCGAACTGTATGAGCTGCACTTGAAGTTACTGACAAACGAGAGTCAGGCAGAGATGGGATACCGCAGGACTCAGCACGTCACCTCCAACACGTGTGTCGTCCGGGCCCTGCAGCCTGGCTGTTCCTACAAATTCACAATTAGAAGATTGACCACTCCCACCCTCGTCCTTGAAAACTGGCACGACAGCATTATACTGAAGACAAAATCTAATACTGTTGAAGACGCGTAGACGGGGACATTTTTCTCCTCCACTTGAAAAATACAAATGAGAAAAAATTAAAGGCAAAACTTACTTTGTGTCTAACTCACAAAATTGTCTAAATCTAACTCACTCTGTTCTCAGTGATTTTACCCAAATCCTTCCAGGTTAGCAGTAACCCAAATCCAAATTCCTCACACGACAGCCTTAGCCAGAACTCACCGGCGGGCGCAGCGGGTGGGCGCAGCGGGACACCTCAGGTGCAAAGCACAGAAATACCTCCGTTATCTCCATCGCCCACCACTTCCCATCCACCAAGAGAGGCCCATGACGGTGTTTTGGGCTTTTTTACCCCGTTACTTTTTTTCCTTCCTCCAAAGCACTTGAACTGAATCCTCAGCTCTTATCCCCACCGCTGGTTCCTCTCCACCCTGTGCCTGACGGGTACCTAAGCATCATTTCATGCTCACCCCTCTCCAGTGCGTGAAAAGAGCATTCTGACTGAAAAAACCCCAACAACAAAACCCCAACCACTCTCCCAAACCCCAACCACCCCTCGAGCCCCCCCCAACAAACAAGGAAGGGCAATACACCCACACGACAATCTTTTCTGCCATCTACCGCAGTTAACGCTCATTTTTGGTTTTACCATTTGGCTCAGCCCAAATACAGTTGTCCCCACGAGGTCTAGTCAAAGCAGCACTTACACGGGCCCTTTAGTAATAAAATTTATTATTTAAATAAACCCAAATAATTTTTACAATTATGGCTTAAATACCCAAAAAAAAAAAAAAAGGAATGTTGAGGTTCATTCTTATAAACGGTAGAAGCAGGTAAAAATATTTGTATCCAAAACATCATTTGAGGTTTGCTGCGAGTCACAGACATACAAAAGATAAAAACCTGCCACATTTAAAGTTCCTTAATTTACACTTCATGACACTTAACATTCCATCTCTATCTTAAAAATAACCCAACCGTTTATTGCAGTGAATTGATCGTCCCACACACATCTGTCCAAATCCTCCAGAACAATCCTGTGGGCTTCCCCTTTGCCAGCTGGAGCCCAGGAGAGGTTTCCTGGTTCTGGATGTCTGTCCTTTCCGTGTCAGTCCGAGCAGGACATCGCAAGGCGATGGCTGCGACCACACGGACGGCCACCGGCCGACGCCTGGCACGCGGCTTGCTGCAGGCGCAGCTTCCCGACGCTCAACTTGTGCTCAGGCTGTAGCTAACGCCAAGGAAGCGAAGTTATCCTCTTGGATGGATGGACATTCACATCCTGCAACACCCTCCTTTGTCTGTGAGCTGTGGGAAACGTAGAGCCTGCGATCGGACAGATACCCTGTGCACCATGCTGCCAGTGGTTTCCTCCTGGAATTACCACAGGATTGGTGGTTTGGTGGGGTTTTATAAGTATTTTAAAAATATGTGCCTAAACATTAAGTTCTTTCAAAAGCGAATTCAAAGCTCTGTGTGCAAATGAAACCAGACTACTCTGAACTTCTCTATTCCTGTCTATGATTCTACCCATGAGCATAAGGACAAGAACACGATATTCAGCCGTCACTAACAGTCTATAAAAAGTTTAATTGCACTTTCTGCTATCCCTGACTATCGCAGCCGCATGACCAACTCTCCAGGTACCTGCTCACAGCCCGAGAGCCCCGGCTGTCGACTGCCGCTTGGCTGGCCTAGGGCAGCCTTTTCTACACACCAGTTACAAACCGCAGCTTCAGAGGAAGGAAAAACCCTCGCGTACATCGTCCCGCAACACAGAGGTGACCAAGCGAGGCATTTCCGTCTAGGCTTTACCCCCCCAGGGAGTAGCAGTGAACACTGTTCCCCGCTGAGGGCAAAGGGAGATGCGTTGTGAGGTCTCTTTCTTGGCGTGTCCAAACACACGGCAAACCCCACACGCGTGCACTGAGCCACGTGGGGTGAGTCTCCTCACGCGTGTCACATGTAATGAAACAAGCAGCGGAAAAAAACCAGGGAGAGACTCTTCACTGACATTAGACCATGAAAATAAGACTCGGGGGTTCTAAAGAGACCGAGGTGACGTGGTCAGAACGATGCTGGCACCACGCGGAAGTCTTTATCCCACCAATTCCAGCATCTTTTGCACTTCTCCACCTTGGAGATTCGTGATGGTGTTTCAGTAGTCCAGGAAATTATTCCCATAGGAGCTCATTTTTGGAATTTTTGCAATATTACTTGCAAAATCAGGCTGGCACAGAGTCCTTAAGATCCCGGCCAGGATCACGTCAAAGAGGAACGATGAACTTCACAACTTACCAGCTTTTATCAAGCATCGTTAGAACCAGCGGGGGCTGGTTCCTACAGGCTTTTGTCCCTCATGGAATTGCCAGCCATATGCCTGTTGTTCTGCTTCAGC